GAGGGAGATGGCCCGGGGAAAGATCTGAAATAAGATCTGAACAGGGCACACCTGAAGGCGCCTGGAGACCGACTGAGGGAAGAAAAAAGAGCTAAGGCAGAGTGTGGGCTTTGGGGTTCGCTCACTTGTTTGAGACAGGAAACTAGAGGGAATTTTAGGAAGTTAAAAATTAGGAAGTCAACCACCCGCATATTAATATCACGGATGGGGAATGGGGCAGTCTAGTTATTAGTAGAACGGAGGCTCAAATTACCTCAGTGGCAAAATATTGGGGTAAAACAAGACACTACAAACTTCCTCCGACGATCTGCAAAGGACACGCTGGAAATGCCTGTTGAATGAGTAGTATGGGTTAACTGCCTGTTGGATCTGCCTATCCAGTCCTCAAGGCACTGGAATGACTGCAAACCTCCCTCACTGGCCCCTCATGCTGAAACTTCCCACTTCACACCAGTGAAATCTCTCTACGTTCAGACACTTCTAGAATATGTAATAGTGAGTGGATACCCACAGTGCTTTGAAACCAGAGTGTTCCCTTTACCTCAGTTTTGTTCTTTAGTTTGTATTTCCACATAAATTCTCCTAGAATCATTTTTACTAAGATCGTTTTTAAAGTTGTAATCATTCGGAGCACTGCAATCTTGTATCCTCCTCCCACTTACTATTCTATCAGAAGCACTTTTTCATCTTAGCAACCTGTATAACCCAACATTTTCACAACTGCACACATGATTTCACCAAGCAGATTCACCACATTCTGCTCAAACACTACCCTATTGCTGGAAATGGACATCATTTCCAATGTTTCACTACTATAAATAATGCCCCCAACTGGCCCTTTTCTAGACCTCCATAGAGCAGACATGACAGCACTCTCCCAGTAGACTTGAAATCTCTTCTTCATTCCCTAGTATTTGCTTTTTGCTGTTGCTATCAGACAGGTCTAATTTTTCATTATTGACCGTATAGATGAGTGCTACTGATGTTAGATTTACTTAGTACATAGTCACGTTATTGAACTAATTAATTCTACTAAATTTTAAGTTGGAAATCTTAGGTTGCCTAGATACACAATGACATCATCTACAATTAATGATCATTTTATTTTTGCTGTCCATATTTTGGTTCAGTTTTTATTGCACTGGTCAGAGCTTTGCAAACATAAAAATAGTGGTGACAGAGACAGTTAAGCCAACTGTTTAGGTTGTTGTTTTGATTGAGATGTCATCTTGTTAATGCACTATTATTCCAAGTTAGGGTTTTAGATTTTCTTTAATTTCCTTTTAAAATTTCTTTTTAGCCACATGTAGCTACTGAGCACCTGTGGCTGGTCTGAATTGATAGGTGGTATGAGTGTAAAACATACACTGGATTTCAAAATTTAGTTTGAAAAAGGAATGTACAATATCTTAGTACTTTTTACTAACTACATGTTAAGATGTTAATATTTTGCGTATGCAGTTGACCCTTCAACAACACAAATTTGAACTGCATGGGTCCATTTATATGTGAATTTTTTTCAATAAATATACTGTCACTCTCTGAACCATGGGTTTTGCATTCTCAGATTCAAACAACCGAGGACAGAAAACAGTATTTTCAATCCATAGCTTGGAATCTGCAGTTTGGGAGGGTAGGGGGTCCTAGATCCAACCCCAAAGGATCAAAAGTTATTCATAGATTTTGAACTGCTCAGGGGTCAGCACAACTAACTCCTGCGATGTTCAAGGGCCAACTGTACTAGATTAAATAAATATATTACAATTATTTGAACCTGTTTCTTGTTACTTTTTAAAATGTGGCTGTAAGAAAAACTGTAATTATATGTGGCTGGCATTATATATCTACTGAGCAGCATGGGTCTACTGATTCCTCTTTACAAAGCATCTCTGATAAGTTTTCATATCAAGGTTGGATTTATTCCAAAGAATCAATTAAGTTGTGTAGGATCTCCCACAATCTGGAACATTTGCTATAAAATATGCTTATATGGGCTTTGAAAGCTTGATAGGATTCATCCAGATTCAACTCCCCCTCCCTCGCTTTAGAGAATTTTCTAAGGTACAAGTCTGCTCTGATATTCCCTTTCAAAGGATAAAGCCTTACATGCCAGGCACTGTCAGAATTAGATAACCGATATTAACTATGGATTAAATCAAAGAACTACTGATAGCACTTCAGATCTTAGTGTAAAGGGCTTAGTGTAAAGGGCTATAGTATAAATACAACAAGTAGCTTTTTCTTTATGTTGGAAGCAATGTGCAGATTCTCCTTTTTACCCTAAGGTATATGGCTAACACACCTTTTTGTACACGCGAATAACTGAGTAGAAAACGTTCGTGCTGCTCTTCTGCTCATTAGAAAAATGTATCCTACCTTTTCAGTCTAAGACCCAAACTCAACTCATCAGATCCCAGATGACATATCAGCTTTTGTCAATAACAAGCCTGTTTACAGAGAAGTGAGAGAGGTGTGCATGGAGGATACCGAGGGAAAGATGAGCTTGCACGGCCCTCTGACACCTGAGGTTCACTGCCCAACAGGCCGGCGGGTGTGGGCAGGTGAGCCCACACAGGAGGACCTATCACATCCCAGGGCATGAATATGTTTCTGCCGCTTGTATTCCCAAAGCTATTATACCCCAAGTCCTCTTCTTACATCGAAAGTTGAAAACAACATGGGCTACCTGGGTTCCAATACCAGTTCTACACTTACTAGCTGAATGACCTTGGACATATTACATAATTACTCAGTAACTCAATTTCTTCATTTGTAAGATGGGGAAAATAAAAAAATATATTTTAGAGTTTGAGAATGAAATGAGATAGAGCAGGCAAAGCTACCAGTGAAGTGCCTGGCACTCAGTAAGCATCCGATAAACATACACCGCGAAAATAACAGTGTATGGGCATTAGTTCCATCAAAGGTTGACTGTAAACTCGCTAATCACCCAAGTCTCATCTACTAATGATTGGCTTGTTAACCACAGAACCAGCCATTATTAAGGAATAGCAAAGTGTGCATTCATTAACACATAAACCAAAACTGGGCTATTCTGACATTGCTGAATGACTCCATCACCATCAAAGACTGAAGAAATCCAGGTTGTACTTGAGACCTCATCCTAGAGACAGTCCTTGGGGAAGGCTTTCCAGGGGATGCACAAGAGGTTCGCTCCCTTTGCGGGTGCCCTCCATCCATCACCAGTTATGCAGCTGCCTGTGATTCTCCATTCCCAGGGTCAACCTGTCCCAGCTCGGCCCAATGCTGGACCATCAAGGTGGCCTGTGGCAGGTTCCAGGTGAGGAGGCAGCCCCCCATCTGCTCCCTGCTCCTCCTAGCCTTCCCTGCCGAGGTAGAGCCTTTGCCTGCTCCTTAAGATACCCATCTGTTTCTCATCTGGAAATCTCTATCCACCCACCTCTATAACCCCGTGTTTCATGAAAAGAAAAAGGAAAAGTCCAAATACCATTCTCACCCAGGAAAGGGAGAGGAAGAGGATTATAGATAGAAGTAAAAACCATTGCAAAGTCTCAAAAATGGTGCAGTGCTTACTTTTAAGGACAAGGGATAGGGAAGAAGCTGTAGTCGTTTCTGCAGTCCTGTCTTACCGGTAGCTCCTCCCGTATCTGGTGGTCTCTTGCCACCGTTTGTACCAGAAAAGAAATGCCAGAAAGAATATGTGAGGGTGGGAAAAAGGAGGCAGGCGAGAGAGCACGTGGGAATGCAGGAAGAAAGAAATGGCGTGGGATTTACTCGAGTAAGAGCAACCTCTTCCTGCCTCTACTTTTCCTCTTCCACAGAGTCTCTCGCCCAGCCTACCCCACTCCTTTCCCCGACAAGCTCTTTTCCAAGGATACACTGGAATTTTTACTCCCCGGCCAGGAGCTGTGCAAGGGGAGGAACCCGATCCCACTGCCAGAGCCACACCAGGAGAAAGTATTTTCCTGGCAAATCTGAACGGCCTTGGAAATCCTAGTTCAGTTCTCCAGAGAACAGTGGTGTATACGGCATCAAGGGACCACAAATACAGGAGGTACGAAGACGTAGGCTTTTCGGAAGCTGGTCTGCAAAATTTCAGAGTGCACTGAACATTTTTCGTTGTTGTTGAAAAAAACGGTAAATATTCTGGGATTCTAAAGAAGCTCAAGTAAACTTCTGAGTGGTGAGCATATTAGAAACTGTAAATACATTCTTATGTATTAAGTAATAGGTAAATACAGTCATAAATAAGAGTCAAAGAACTTGAAGTGGACTGAGAAACACTCTTCCCTCACCCAGGCGAACTTAACCACGAATGGTATATATATATACATGAGGAGTCCCAAGGGACAAGTCCTGGGTACTTCAAGGAAGAAACAATACCTGAGGGACGTAGCATTTAGAGGTAGCTTTTTAATGAAATGAGACTTCAACTCAAAATACTACGTGTTTCTCCAAAATAATAGGAAAGCTTTATGTTTTCCGACAGAGAAGAAAATTCTCTGCTTCACCCCTTACTTCTATAAAATATAAGAAGATATTTACTATTTTACTTATCATTTCATTCATTTTGTTGTTGTTGCATTAAAATCAGTAAATAATCTGAAACCAGCATTTAGTTTTCAAGACCTGATACTTGTTCAATTATAAGATTTTCTTTCTTTAGGGGAAAAAATGTGTTAGGCAATTGTTTTCTCCACATTATTTATCTCTAGGTTTTCTTTTTTTTTTTAAATCAGTTTTCTTTCTAATATTTTTATATCAAATAGTTGGTTCATCAGTGTCACTATAAACCATAAACATTATGCAAAACAGTTACTTGATCTTCTCCGGGGCTAAAATTGCTTTCAACTTTTCTCATGCATCGTTTGACACAAAGTGGTAGTACTTACAAGTATAGTCACCCATCCACCATACCACGGCAGAAAGTGCAGGAAGGAACAGCCATGGTTACCAATGCCTACAGTTTGGTGCTAGCCACTAAGGCTGTTGAAACTTTAATTATAAGCCCCGATTACCTTTGTCTGCTCACTGTCTGGGTCTTCAAGCCAAGCATAAGGGTCAGAAATTTTATGCCCATGATAATCCTGCACCTGCAAAAGACAAAATGCGTTAGTAGATAATTAGTGTCTATCCCCAACTAAATTAGTATTTTCTGAATGTGATGGAGAGATAGACAAAAACACCCTGATTGGCTCACTGGCAACTGCCTGTGCCCAAATTGCCACATGAATCAGAGTTGGCACATTCTCAAAGGCGTCAAGCCACCCTTCATGAAAGGAATGTTTTACTGGAGAGGGAAGAAAGACGAAAGGTCAGGACAGGAAGCAGCTCTGTCTGTACAACACCAACCCAAGGCTGCTGCCGTGCTAAAGAAACCTGAAACGTGCTGTCAGGGGCACTGCACAGAATTACACAATGCAGCAGGGATGACAGAGGGCACGGCCATGTGCCTATTCTCCTGTTCTCCCTAAGCCTGCTCACGGTTAGAAAATCCCCCTACAATATGTAATATGATCGGTTTTGCTTTGCTGTCTAAACTGCCAACAAGAAACTTACTAATGTGTAGCTATAATGACTCTAATTGACATCAGCTGATTCTCATTGAAAAGGCTGACTTAAATGCAACGAAGGAGCACTTCCAAACTGAAGCCTTTCTTCCCTTTTGTGTATTGTTATGAAATGCTTTCTTTCACTGTTCATAAAAGGAGGCACAACTATCCTGACAGAAATAAAACTGCTTAGCGTAAGCCGGCCTGGCTGAGGGTGGTGTCTGGGAAGCCCGGATTTCTGGGCCTGGATTCAGAGACTGTCCGAGCCTAGAGCAGCCATCTGGAGTCACCCCTCCTCAGGGGATCATGCCTAAAGACATTTTGCAAAGGTAAAAATCGTTATAAAACCTCCCACATCAGACCATCCTGGTTAATCTAGATAACCGAATCGCCACTGACAACGTCTTTCCAATCAAGTCTCTCTGAACAACTCCAACATTCCGGTTAAGGCTTCTCCTAGAAGGTTATCCGGAAGACCCCCACCATCTCAGATGAATTTTTAACTGGTCTTCTTGCTCCCTTCTATCACACCAGACGGTAGGGGCTATTCCCTAAGGCAGTGGTCGGCAAACTGCGGCCCCTTGAGTGTGGCTCTTCCACAAAATTCCACGTGCAGGCGCGCACATACAGTGCGATTGAAACTTCGTGGCCACACTCAAGGGGCCAAAGAGCCGCATGTAGCTCGCGAGCCGCAGTTTGCCGACCACTGCCCTAAGGAAAGCAGACACCCTCCTGGAAGACAACAACCTGCTGTTTCTACTTCTGGTCAAAGTTCCAGTGCGGCTGCTGCCAACTGAGAAGAATATCCCTGAGCATAAAAGCCCAGGCCACGAGGATGCAAAGGGTCTGCACCTGTCCTCCTCCGCTGGGAAGGGGGGACACACCTGGGGAAATGACACCTGGAAGGATGGGCAGGTAAGGTGGAACACCCGGGACCTGCTCTCATCAAGCCTTGACTGACAAGTGCGAGGGACATAAAACCAGACTGAAACCTCTCCTGATGAGTCTTCATAGAATTGCCAATTTTCGGGGGGAAAACACACACACCAATGTTCAATCCTTACCTAAGGCCTCAGCATTTTAGCTGTCACAACTGAATGAAAGCTATTAATCTTCTCATCCTCAAGTCTTTTACATTTTACACACCTTGAAGTGGTTATAAATTATGCTTAAAACAACAACCTTCCTTTCCCTGACAATAAGAAACCAGATAAAGAATCCTGTAGAGCAGTGGTTCTCAACCTTCCTAATGCCGCGACCCTTTAATACAGTTCCTCATGTTGTGGTGACCCCCAATTTCATTGTTACAAATTGAACATAATTAAAGCATAGTGATTAATCACAAAAACAGTATGTAATTATATGTGTTTTCCGATGGTCTTAGGCGACCCCTGTGAAAGGGTCGTTCGACCCCCAAAGGGGTCGCGACCCACAGGTTGAGGACCGCTGCTGTAGAGGATCTTCCAATTCAACATTTTTAGGAGTGAGGCATGGCAGGAACAAGGTTGGGCGACACGCCCAGGGCCATACCGAGTTCAGAACCAGAGCTGGGACTAAAAACAATCTGCCAACAGCTTTCCCCCAAATACTCCTCGGAGGGGACAGACCAGACACATGAAATGTGTTCCTAAAACTCTGACACATCCAGAGACTTAACTTTTCAAAAGGATAGTTTTCAAAACTGTGATAGTTTTATGACTAAGTGAAGGTGCTGCCAAGTGCTAAACCCAAAGCAATAAACCTTTCCTGGATATCCACACTGTTGTGCCCAATGTTTTAAATATTCCTATTTTACAGATTATGGGATGCAATTCCGAGAGCCTAGTAAGAGTAAAGGCCACATATTTGCTGTGATCTAACCACTGCGCCATAGACGACAACCACATTATCTCATTTGTCCTCACTGTGAGGACACATTTTCCCAGGTGAGGAAACGGAAGCTGGAGAGAGCAACAGCAATTGATTAAGGTCAGGTGGCTAATCAGGTAGGCCTGTGACCCACTCCGAGCCAACCCAAAAGCCTGTGTATTTAACCTCTTGCCAATGAGCTGGGTCAGGTGCAAACTGGCAGGTGGACAGCTGGACCTTGACTCAGAACCCAATGTGTCCTACAGCATGCTGCCTCTTGAACGGCGTTTACCACCAGGAAGCAGCCTCATCTACTCAGAACCAGTGTTGTCATCTAAACCAGACTGAGGTCAGTTATTGAGCCGACATTAGCAACCAGGAAGAGAACTCCCCAAAACAATCCCAGCGACCATCCCAGCAGCCAAGCGCCCCCTCCCCCCTTTTCTTTCACCACACAATATCCTAAATAGTGTGGATAGCCACAGCCCCTGAATTCAAGTTATGCAGCATCGAATTCCTCATTTAAGTTTGCAAAGCATTCCTCACCTCCCCAAGAGCTCGAAAAAGAGAGCCCAGACAGGCCACTGTTACTATTCAATATTTTGCTCTTACGGTTCAACAATGTGCCTGTTGCCTTCAGGATAAAATGTAGACTCCTGTACACACAACAGGCAGAGCCCATGAAACCTGCCCCGCTCTTACTTCTCAACCCCCATCCAAGCTCGTCCATCCATAGATGCTCTGTTCACAGTGGCCTTCCTGCCATCCTACAAACATGCCATTTCATGACCATTCAGCCCCACATAACTATGGCTTTATTTTAGTCATAAAGCTAGGAATGTCCTTTCTACCTTATTCAACTGGCCAACTTCCAGGCTCAACGCACATATTATCTTCTGCTCCTAATGAAATTACTCCCATCCTCCTGTGTTCCCCATTCACCCTACACACCCCTCTAACGCCTGTACCAAGCCTGTACCACGGATTGGGCAATGGCTTTACCCAGGAAGTGTCATGGTTTCCACATTTCTGCTCATGAGCAGAAATCCACCAAAAGGGACTGCACACTCCAACCCACAGGGCAGCAGGAGACTGCCCAGCATGTGGCTGAAAGATGTTCAAGTGAGAGAGGCAGAGAGCTACAGCAATCCCTAGTACCTGCCGGACAGAAATAAACCCATCCTAGAAGTCAAGGCTATAACTTGGGGAAGTGCTAAGTCCTGCCTAGAGCTTAGTAATCAGGACTTGTCACAGTTAAAAGATACCCCATGTAGACTATCAGGGCTGGGCTGAGTACCCTGTGGGATGGGCCCAGGCTGGACCACAGCCACTTTCCCTTGGCCATGAGGCTTAGGGTTATGAGTTTCTTGGTGAGAAGGAACTGGAGAGTATTAAAATCCATGCTACAGTATATATACTCTTTTGAATTAATTATTCATAATCTATTTGGTGTCTTCATGAAACCCTCACTTAACCCTTTCAAGAACTATTAAACATAAATAAATAAACCGTAGGATTCTGGTAACACGAATAAGGAAAAATAAAATGAGAAACAACCCTCCCTCCCCCCAAAAAACCCCACCACACAAAACAGTACAGATCTGAAAGGCACTTATCAAACCACATAATGGGCAATTGTTTACATTTTTATCAATCCTGAAAATTCAAAGATCCTCAAGACCCGAATTGAGATATTCCCATGTCTTCCCATTACTAAAGTCTAGCACACTGCAGGGCTAGACTGTCATGTGAATGAATGAGAGATGATATTCTTACTGTAGAAACAAGCCAGCCCTAAATACTCCACTTATGAGAAAGAAGACCTGTAACAGGTAAATGACCTGCCACAGGGCATCCTGCTGGTGAGTGACAAAACCAGAGCTAGCACTCAGGTCTTCCCACTCCTCTGGCGTCTTCCCATTCCAGCAGGATCACTTTACTCCCAAACACAAAGGAAACAACCTTTTGAACCACCGGAACAGGGCTTCTTGGGTTGTTAGAGTAAACTTAATAAGCAAGCAGCTGAACAGACTGAGAAAACATGGTTACCAGATGGCCACTGGTCAAAGAAACCATGAATGCATCAGTGCCGCTTGGAAGTCTTAATTTAAAACAGTATGTCCTTTACGCTAAAGCCGCAGTACCCTTTAACCTAAAGTGAGATGTGCTTTAAACTACAATCTGGCATAAATTGGGTCCAAGAGAGCAGAAGAAAATAGAACTGTATTACACAAAAATAGCTTTAATCTGATTCTATTTTAAGTAATCTGAGAAATCTGGCTACTCCTAAGAGAATCATGCCTACAACATTTGGATGCACTACAGTTCTTAAGATGCCAAATTAATTTTTACTCACACATGAAGAGCTGTTTGCCCCCCAATTCCGCCCACCGGATCTCAACAGCCATCCTGAGTTCATCTACAGCTGAGGTTCATGGTGGCTAACCCCTCCACGAAGCAAAACTTAAACTCATCCTGAAAAAAAGGCCATCCCCTCTCCCTTCTAGGTCCTCCTCTCACCCCCTATCAACTCCTTTTCTAGTTTAGGGAAACTTGGATCAGCACTGCTACACCGCGGGGTCCCTGTCCGCCTTCGCGTTACTCAGTCCTGTCTCTGCATCCCCAACGCCCAGCAGCCGGCCTGGGGCAGGGTAAGCGCTCAGTACACGTTGTAAAACCGAATGAATGAACTTCAACTCTAAGAATTCTTCATTTGGAAGTTTAGAAAGTTTGCTTTGTGTTTAAATCCTACATCATCTATACACTTACACTCTTTCTCCTGCCACCATATTTACGCACGAGCTTCCCCAGTCAAAAAGCAGTGACACCTCCTACCTGGGCATCTGCCCTTGACCCCATTGATTTCGGGGAGTCTCCCAGCAGCGGCCGATGCCGGGCGGCGCCGCCAGCAGGCGGGGAG